CTTTCTTTGCATAGTTATAATTCAATACATGAGCCTAACTTTGAGTTTCGGGGCTTATTTCATGCATCGGGTGCCATATTTCCATGTTTCAGGACCGTTTAGCATCATGTTTCAGTGCTGGAAATTACATGTTTGTATGCCATCTTTCATCCCTTGCCATGTTTTGGTAGAGTGGCATTTTATGCCTTAGGTTCGGTCCTTGGAATTCGTGCATGTGTGCATGCATTTCGATTCTCTCATTTTCATACCATGGCCACTGATGTGAGTGTGGCTGAGGTCCACTTATGTTGGTGTAAGTCCATCATGTATTGTGTATGCCATTTCAGTCCTTAATATTGCGTGTGCTAGGTTGTATGTTAGAGCATTGTATATGCCATGTTACATCGAGCATCGTGTATGCCATTTCATAGCATTGCGTATACTAGGTTGTATGTTAGTCGCATTGTGTATGCCATCTCATTTGCATCATGTTTGGGATAGGAGTTAGCCCAAGCACGGGAAACGAGGTACGTTTCGTACTCTGAGTGACGGAACGTGTCTCAATTCCCTATCGCCGACACTCCAGATTACCCATGATAGAGTTTAGGTCTTGCTGTGTTTTCATGTGCATTCATTTCATATTGAGTCGTGCAATTCGATTCCTTGGCCATCATGCATCGATATGCGTGATTGGTGGCACGAGGATCGAGGACTACACTCCCTAAAGAGTAGTCATGCATACATATGTGAAAATACTTTGTCATGCCCCTTTGTTGCTCTCTGTTGCAGCAAATCAGAAATCAGCAGCCTTCTGGAGCTTTGCACAATATTCCGAGAACAATTGCAAACAAAGGAAAACCGGGACATCGCAATGGATTTTCGCACAAGGCAACTTAAGCATGCATCATTCCTCATTCGAAACAGAGCTGAGGCGGTCCATGGTTTTGCGTGCTAATTTACCTGCTTTCCTAGATTAATTTGTTAATTAATTAGGATTTTGTATTTATTCGGACTGTATATTATTTATTCGAACCCTCTGAGCGAGGGCGCAATTGTAATAAGTGTGCGTGCGTGTGATGTATGTCTTCCAACCCCACGTCTTTCTCCATTTTATTTACCAGCTTACGATGGTTAGATTAGGGCATGTTTCAATTAGCATACAGTATGATAGTATGTTTGCATTCATTCATCTGTCTAGCATGCACTGGGCTCGGCGCATCATGCTAACTGCATTTGTATTTCAATTCCGAGTTGAATACTTATTAGTTGTAACATTTCACATGCCATCTTTAGAATAGCCGAGCCTATCTTAGTTGCATTTTGCATGTGTTGAATTAGGCATTTACTTATAGTTAGGATCATGCATGGATTTCTAACATAGCTTTTGTTTTGGCTTGGAGTACTCGGTAAGTGTTTATGCTTTAGCATCCTTGCATGTGTGTGAGTGACTGCCATGATAGCATGGCGTCATACATATCATATCATGAATCATGCCATGCATGTTGGTCTTGAGCTAAATTTCTACAATTCCTTCTTTATTTGTCCATATGAGTTCCTATCATCAATTTACACTACTAAACTCATAAGTATGCATGATATCCTTTATATTTCAACTCAATGTCCAAAGGATGATAACCATGACATCTCAATTTCATGAAATTAAAGGCAAATTCTCACCTTAAGTTGTTAAATTTATGAACAATTCAAGTTGCCTTTTCACTTCCTCTTCTTCTATCTTCTTTCTCCTTCTTGAGCTCTATTTCTCAAGGTCTTTCCCTTTCACTCTATGTGTATATACCTAGGTTCAACAAGTCCAGTACACTTCTCTCTTACTCCTATTCAATTTGATGAGTAATACACTAAGTCTTTAATTATACGTACCCAAGTTCCCGAGCCGAGGCAACTTTGGTGATGACGGACACGTGGCCTTTTGGCACCGAGTCAGGGTTTCCTAAATTTCCCAAAATAAAATATTTAGGTGGCGACTCTGTATCTGGCAAAGCAGTCCATGTTTGGCACTTCTTTCAAAAAATCTGTTTTCAAAAACGATTTGCCGGATTTGGACTCTTTGATGATTTCATCGGTCTTGCATTGCACTCTGAGAGATTAGATACAAGACCGTGATACAAATCGAGTCCGAACTGTAGTGAGGCCCGAGGGCGCGTCTACAATCACCCACACTACCCCATAGAAAATCCTTTGAAGCTTCTCCAACCGGTGCGCCACTGACACTGGAATAACATGAATCGACATGAAGTAGGTTAGAATGCTGCTCAACACACTCTTAATCAGCGTCAATCGCCGGCCTTTTGACAAATACTGCTTTTTCTATCCCTCCAGACGACCCTGGACTCATTTCGCCACTCCATCCCATACCCCTTTCACCTTAAATGAAGCTTCTAACGACAAACCCAAATAAGATACCGACAAAACGGACACCTTGCAACCCAAGACTGCAACTAAAACTGTAGCTTGTCCACCTCCCCAACTGCAATGAGCTCTGACTTCCTTAAGCTTACCCGATGGCCTGATACTGCCTCAAAACATAACAATGCACATCTCAAATGTCCCACCTGCTCCACTTTAGCCCCATAGAAAATCAGAGCATCATCTGCATATAATAGATGAGATACACCAATAGAAGCCTCAGACAAAGATCCCACCACAAAGCCCTCCAATAGACCTCCACGCACAACTCTATCCAATAACCTACTCAACACCTCCATCACTAAAAGAAATAACAGAGGTGACAAAGGGTCCCCTTGCGGAAGGCCATAATGCGTCGAAAAAACCCCCGCCGGAGTCCCATTAATCAGAACAGACATCTGCACAATCAATACACAAAACTTGATCCATTGGCACCAAGTCTTCCCAAATCCCATACGGTCCAACACATATAGGAGGAAATCCCAATTAATGTTGTCATATTCCTTCTCAATATCCAATTAGCAGATCAAACCTGGGCGCTTTTGCCGAATCCGGGAACCCGCACACTCATTGGCAATAATACTGCATCCACAATCTGTCTACCCCCTGCAAACGCGTTTTGAGACTCAAACACCACAGCTGGCAAAACTTATCTAAGTCTATTTGCTAGAACTTTAGCCAATAATTTATAAACACTTCCCAACAAGCTAATAGGCCTAAAGTCCCGAACATCCTCAGCCCTCCTTTTCTTAGGGATCAAAACCAAAAAAGTCGTATTAAAACTTTTCTCAAATTGACCAGACACAAAAAAAAAAAAAAGCTCCAATGTCGTCTCTTCCTTTGGGCTCCTCTCTCGACTTCGACTTTGACTCCGACTCATCAAGTCAGTGTTTCTTCTTCTTCTTCGCTCTTTGCTTTTTTTATTTTTTTTTTCCTTTTTTTTTGCTTCGCTGGCTGCTGGTTGCTTCTTCTTCAACTTCGACTCTCTCTCTTTTCTTCTTCTTCTTATTCTTCTTCTTCTTCTTCTTCTTCTTCTTCGCTATTGACGTGCTCTGTTTGTTTGTTTGTTTTTTTTGTGCTTCTTCTCCGACTTCAACTTCAACTCTCCCTCTCTTCTTCTTCTTCTTTTTCTTCTTCTTATTTGCTCTCTCTTTGAGTTGAGTCTTTGTTAGGAGAAAAAAATACAAATAAGACTGTTAGTATTTTTTTTTTTTCCTTTGCTGTGCTGTTGGTCTATTTTTTTTTGCCCTTCTCTGTTAGGAAAAAAAATTACAAATAATTAATTAATCACACATTACATTACATTGAAATTATTTTTACATTTATTAAATTTGTTGTGTAGAAAATGATTAGTCTATCAATGTGCTGTAGAAAATGATTGGCTTTGAGAATTATTCTATAATTTGTCTTGATTATTTTTTATTTAAAAAAAAAATTTGTGTTAGTACTATAAATGATTAGTCTATGTTAATTTATCTATTTTTTACTAAGATTGTATGCCTTGCTTCAATAAAACTCACATCTCGCCTTGCGCCTAAGCCCCGAGAGATTCAATAAAACTCACGTCTCACCTTGCACCTAACCCCCAAAACACTTTCAACGTCTTAGTGCGCTTGGAGCCTTTAAAAACACTGCTATAAACATTCTTATATGGCTTGTCTGCAGAATTCAGCCACCCCGCTATCACACTGACATGACTGTCAACATATAAAAAAGGTAATGTTTTCCTCAAATAATAATAATAACGATGTAGCCTATTGTGCTGTTTTCATTTCAAACTAAACATTCACCATTATAATTCATAATTTTAAAAATGTTACTATTACATCTTTTTAGAAAAAATTTCTGTCTGTGAGACATGGTCCCATAAAAAAATTTAACAGTGCTACATTTACATAATTTCTTCTCTCACAATCTTTACAAATGAGGCAACAAGCAAAATTTTTAAAATTGATTCACATTTCAATTAGTATAGAACTTGTATTATGTTTTACCATGTCATCTCTGTAGGGGTTGTCATTACAAGAAAATGTACATTTGGCGACTAAAATTAGCAACTAAAAAAAAATTAGTTGCCAAAAGTTGTGGAATTGGCGACCAAAAACTTTTTTAGTCACCAAAAGTATAATATTTAGTTACTAATTTTTTTAAAGTCGGGATATATTGATTATTGGCGACTAAAAAAAATTTTAGTAGCTAAAAATTATCAAAATTGACGACAAAAAAATTATTTTAGTCGCTGTATGTTGAGTTTTAGTTACTAAAATCATTTAGTCCCGAATGGAAAATAAAAAAAAATATTTTTTTATCTTTGGTCGCCAAAAACTTATTTTCAGCGATAAAAAAAAATTTTAGTCACCGTATATCGAGTTTTGGCTATTAAAATCATTTAGTTGCCAAATAGAAATAAAAAAAGTTTTTTTTAACTTTGGCAACCAAAAGTTTGGTCGCAAAAAATTTATTTTTAGTGACAAAAAACTAAAATATTTGGATGGATTTTTCAAATTTTGGAGGGTTTTATAAATTAATTGGCGACTAAAAATTTAGTCGCTAATGGTGTACTATATATATATACTTGGTTTCCAAAGCACAAACCAGCCCCTCTCTGTCTCTCTCTCCCTCTGCCTCTCCCCCTCCCTCTCCCTCTCCGCTGCTCCTCTCCGCCCTCTCCTCCACCTCCTCCCAACGCTACTCAAACCCTGACCCCATTTCCATTTCACTGTCGCCTTCGCTTGTTGACTCTCCGTCGTGTTGGTCAACAAATCCCAGGTTTTGGGTCAGGACAAGCCAGCCTTGATTCAACAGCGATTGTCGGAGATTTTGGGTTCTCGGAGTCCGGGAAGTCAGTTCAATGACCCCAATTCGAGTGCTGTGAAGCTCACGTTGAGTTCCAAGGAGGGACTCACTGTTTCCTTGAATGTTCATCGACAGATCTTGGTTGCTCACAACCGATTCTTCACGGTTAAGCTTTCCGATCGGTGGTCGAAGCAGCAGCGAACTTCTAACCCCTGCATTGTCGAGATTGCTGACTGTGATGATGTTGAAGTTTACATTGAGGCTCTAAGTTTGATGTATTGTAAGGATTTGAGGAAGAAGCTCATGAAGGAAGATGTCACCAGAGTACTTGGAATCTTGAAGGTACTAACACATTGTAGAGGAAACTATGAACTTTTGTTGAATTTGTAGATTTATATGTTTGTACCTATTTGTATGTGTATATGAAATGATGTGTATACGTCTGTGCCAATTTGCCTACATATATGTCTGTTTTTCTTGCCTTCAAGCTATTTGATAAAATGTCTCTTGGGAAGTACTTAGTGTAAAACACCCTTTTGGACCCATCCCCTATTTGGGATGGAGGACAAAGTCAAAGTTAAATAATTCTAATAATACATTTGATCACTAAGCAAAGCATGGCAAAGTGTAGAATTTTATCTAACGGTTCTGTCAGTGAAAATTGCTCTGAAACTTTTTTCCTTGCATCATTGGCTTGGCTAGTGGACTAGATGTCTATTATCTTTGTACTGTCATCAAATCAAATTTGTATGTCTTTATCTTGATTCAGTTGTGAAATTCTAACTATAATTTTGATATTTTTCCCTGCTGGTGCATCTTTCCTTTTGAATCTATCTCATTGAAGGGAGGACATTGATGTGAAATTCCCTAAAAGTTGCGGGATATTCGATTTTGTTTATGTAGATATTTGATTTGTTTGATGTGAAACGCAATGGGGTTATTGAGTTTGGAGAATTTGTTCGTTCATTAGGTGTTCGTTCCGAATTTGTTCGTTCATTAGGTGTATTTGATGTGAAACGCAATGGGGTTATTGACTTCTATACTTATTTTTTTATGTCCATTAAACTTGAAATTGCAAAAAAAAAAAATTAAAAAGTGCTACAATGTGTGTAAAATAAGTTACGAGTTTGCTATGGGAATTGTGGAAATGATAGTTAAATTTTCTCATTTGGGCTAAATTTTGTGTGAATTTAGGTGGGAGGTTGGTGTATCAGAACACCAAGAAGAGGGCCAGTGGACCCAAATGTCCTGTTACTGGAAAGCGAATCCAATGGGTATGTAGGCCTCTTGTTTATTTCATAACTGCTCTTGTATTATGCTATGCCATTTTGTGATTGTGCATAATTTTCTGATTTTGCTACTATGAAGTTAATTGGTCTTGTTGTGTTCCCTTTCCTTAGAATAATATACTTTGGTTGAGTCGTATTAACAATAGGGTTGATTTATGTGTTAATAGGACTTGATGGAAATTTCATTGGAAAAGTAGGATTTATTGGGTATTTCCACAGTTCTATCGGCAATTATTAGTTGTGGTGTCTAGTACAAAATGTTAGTTAATTAATTAACGTTTTAAAAATTAGTTTCAACCGAAATGAGAATGTTCAAGATAGATAAGAAGTGTTAATAAAATAAAATAAATAAAAAGAGGGGGGGGGTGACCAGTGGACAAGATTCCTGCTAAAGCGCGGTTTGAGGAGAACAAGATGTAAATAGGAGGAGAAAATCTAAAAACAGGAAAAAATTATTTGGTCCATGAGAAATCATAAATGTTTTAACCAAGGATATGGTTTTACATAGATCCAAGTGGGCAACTGAAGGTAATTGAGATTATGAACATCGAATTAAACTTTTAAGTTTTTGTTTTACTGTTAACTCGAGTGGTATCTCCTCCCCTTTGAGGGGAGGTGCAGCTCATATGGGGTTTGTAATCTGTTACAACATAACCATCCCATGATTCTGAATCAATAGACCTTCAGCACCAAAGCATTGTAGTCTTCCTTTTGTGTTTGGTATACAGCTATACTTTCTAATCTGAAACAAGAAGTTTGAATGTGCAGTTAATGTAGGCTGGATGAGCATTGAAGGCTTGGACTTTGAAGCAGAAGCAGAGCAGAAAAATGAACATATTCACCAGAATATTTAAATTACGTTCTGGAATTCCTGCCCTCATCTTTGTCGTGCTGAACAGGGTTGTGATGCCTCTAATCTTGAAATCCATTTTGCTCTGCGTTCCTTTGTGATTCTGTTGTGCTTTCTATTGTTCCCTTGGCAGTAATCAATCCTAATGTATTAACCTTCTGGATGGTTTTATCTACTTACATTATCAGTATGCATGCATGTATGTATTCATCTAAGTTTTTGGCAAGTATTTCTAATCAAATTGAATTTTTTTTTTAATATCCAGTTATCACAGATGTAGGGTCTCAACAATTCTCCAACTCTGTACTAGGCTGCCTTCCTAAAAACATGTGTTTCGACTAAATAATTAGTAGCTAAAAAAAATAAAATAAAATAAAAAAATTTTGGCGACTAAAATTTTAGTAGCCAAATAAAAAAAAATAGACTTTAGGTGACTAAATTTTTAGTAGCTAAAAAAAATTATGCTTTAGGCGACTAAAACATGTAGTAGCTAAAAAAAATAAGATGAACAAAAAAATCTTTTTAGCTACTAAATAAATTAGTCGTGGAAAATAAATTTTGTTTTGGCGACTAGTGTTTTAGTCGCTGAAAATGCAATATTAATTTTTTTTTAAAAGCTTTTGGTGACTAAAAGATTGATCACCAATTTAGTCTATCAACGACTAAAGTTTTTTTTGTCGCCAATACCTTTACTTTTGGCGACTACTTGTTTAGTTGCCAATACCTTTGCCGACCATCTTTTTGCGACCAAGTCGGCGACCAAACTATTTAGTCGGGAAAATTTTTTGGCGACTATAATATGACTTTTTGGCGACTAAAAATTTAGACGCCAAAAGTACAATTTCTTGTAGTGTGGAGGAAAAAATTATTTTTCAAAAAATTACACAAATCAATGCCATGTATCTGCATCAGTAAGTCTTGCGAGATCATGATCCTCTTCCTACAAAAACAAGAGGTGGCCTTTTTTAGCTTCGTTCTAATAGTTCGGCATTATCTAATCACGAGAAGAATTTTATCTTTTTTTTTTGGCTATTTAAACATTTGATCTAATTGGTCTACCTCAGCACCATGCTATACAAAAGTTTTTTTTTTCTCTTTCCAATGCTACGTTTGGATCTTGGATTTTCTTAACAAAAATATATGACAAATGAAAATCACTTATTCATATTTACTCGTAGATATTTAATATTTATGGATAATTAAACAAAACATCAAATCCATCTATTTGTTTCCTTAGCATTTTCCTAACCCAACTAATAAAGAAAAAAAAAAAAACTTATTTTACTTTATTTTATTTTCATATCATTTTGTCTTCATAAATCCAAGATTTGAACACAGTATATAAGAATAACGCAAACGAGATCAAAATAAAATTTAAAAACAAAACAAGCCAAAATAGCTAAAAAGTTCTACAGTTTCAAAATTTATGTAATATATAAAACAAGTATCTCTGGCCACCCTACTTTATTTTGTTACATGTATGCATGTTTGTATATAATAAAAACAAAGCCTAAACTCATTAAAAGTACAGGTAAAACTACATGCAACGCAAAGAATTTGGATGCATATGGTGATGCAATTAAAAGATTGTACAACTTAAAACTTTTCTATATGAATGTAAAAAGACAAAGTATGACCAGTGCACGAAACATCCGCTAAAGCAAGATCTGGGAACTCTAGGAAAATTGACTTTTTCGAGCAGGTGGCCTAGGCTCGAGATCACGGTTGATCTAGAGGAGGTAGAAACATGTTTAACAGGGTTGAGGTTTCCAACCATAACAGAGAACCATCACACAATCTTTCGCTGAGCTGCCCACTGTTGCCTTTATTTCTTCTGATTTTGCTATTGTCTGCAACCACAGATCTATTAAGTTATGCAGTCGCAAGCTGGGATGCAATGGCTGACCCTTCAATGAGATCTCCACCTGGCGGGAAAAAAAAAACTATAGTAATCAGCAAATTTGCCAATAATGCTTCGATTATCAACTATACTATTATTGTTGTTGTTGTTAATCAATATGAATTGATTTCTTTAATTGGTGTTTGACAATACATGAGACTAGTCTTGCACAATACTCCAAATAGTGTACTTTGATACTAAGCCAATGTCAAATGTAGAAAATGAAAATTCTACTATGGAAAAGAGAAGAAGCTAATGAATCAACTATAGACTGGAAAAGACATACTCACCCAAACAAACTTGCATAGACATCAGCATATACAAACTTATTTTCATAGGGAAGTGATTATGATTATGTAAGGTACCTCAGCTTGATGGCAGTTAAGATCCAGCCTATCTACAACGAACTTTTGGATGGATGAAACTGGTACATTTGCATCCCTATGGTGGGAACAAAAGGAAAACATGTCAATAATAACAAGAATTTTGCTTGCCGCTAACTAAAACAGTTCTTCTGGTAAACAAAAGTCAAGACACGGTCATGGATTAGTTCTTCGACAATTTGTTTTGTAACAAAAATCTCATTTCAAGTATAGGGAAAAGTTCGATGGAAGGTTAGATCAAAGAAGTCAGAGAGAAAACTTACATGGAATAAAGCACCCAATATGGGATGCATAAGCTTTTCTTAATGCTATCTGTAAAAGGGACTTCTTTCAAATGCCACACAAATACAATCAGATGATCTATTTGCACTTAATGTGAACATTCCATGTGTTTTGGATGCTATTTGTACTTTGTTAAATAATTAAGACACCATCATTACTCCAAGAGGACGAAAATAATGCTTAGTGAACATGTTCACAGTTGTTCACAGTTGTAGCTCAGAGGAAGAAAAATAAGTTAATAGATTACAACACAGACAAGTGTTCTCTAGATCAGGGCAGAGTTTACTTAGTTTCAACTGGATCAAATAGCAATGCAGTATCTCTACACACAGATATCATGACTTAACTGAAGCATATTAAGCAAAGTGGTGGTGCCAAGGGGACTTACTTTATCATCAAGTAGCAGGAGAGTAACTGTGGCAACGGTTCATCTCCTTCCCTAAAATCATTAATCACGAAACATACAATTAACATACATAAGATAAACAATACGACATAGTTAACGTTAATTATACTTGTTTGGGCAGTTTGGGTGTTTTGGTGGGTTGATGTTGTGGGGAATCATGTATTTTATTTTTTGTTAAGTCCTTCTTAACGTTTTTTGTTTAAAAAAAAAAATCGTGAGGCCAAGGGGTTGGTTGTATGGTTGCGAGTTGCAGTAATAGCACATAGTGCTTGCAGCATTAACCACAGCTTGTGGTGCAATATTTGTCCCTTCAGTGGCCATAGCTCGTTTTGGTCGACCCCTACGTTTCCTTTTAGGTTTTTCTGAACCTGATGGCACGAGCATTGATCGACCCTCATCATTGTTGACTTTAGATTTATTAGCTCGTTCCTTCAATTTGGTAATTTTGTTCGCATTTTCCTCATCTTCATGGACAACGGGCAGTGCTGAATTTGCCACAGATTCTTGCACAATAGACTTGCCAGGCTTTGTTATACCTGCAGTTTCTACAAGACAATTCAAAGGTTTCCACAGAGCAGTCGTACCTTCCAATGGCTCAACAGGGGCCTTTGCACATTCACAAGGCACATTTTGCTTAGATGACTCGCCAGCAAAGAAATTCTGCAGCCATCACAACAATAAGAATAAATTGTTAACCTAGTAAATGCATAACCATTCTCAATTTAAAGCTTTTCCTTAACTTTTTGAAACAAATTAATCTTACAAGTGCAAATGAGCAATCTGTAAACTTGTTACCGGCTTTTTATTTTCTGCAATCTTGGTTAGAGTCACAAGAGGGCTTGAGTTCTCGGGAATGGCTTCCCTGTTCTTCATTAGCTCTTCAACGGATAAAGTGGATCCTCGTGAAGCAACAAACTTTCTTGGCAAGGATTTCTTTCTTCTACTCATTGCAGCCCTATTTGACGCCTTAGGTTGGCTAACCAAGGAAGAGAGAGGTCTTTCCTTACTTCTGGAAAGCAATGGAATAGTGGGCATAACTTCAGGTTCCATTGACTCTATTGTAGTAAGCAAAGGATTAGGCTCTCTTCTTTTTAAGGAATCAAAGATTGCAGCCTTAATATGTTGCACACTATGGTCAGCCCTGCAGGTTAACGGAAAACAAAGGAAATTTTGATTAACATGGACCTCTATTCCAACCAAACGCATAAAGTTAGTTTGTATTTCTTGTTTTTCCTTTAAATTTGGTAATTTGGAGTAGAACACAAATTCACATGGCATAACAGTTATAGAAACAAAGGCACACACAAAAGAAAGAATAAGAGAGGGAGAGTTATAGCTTGAGTATTTCAATCATGTTGTTTATTCTATCTGTGATTTCAACACTTGTCTTTTGCTTAAGCGAAAATTATATCCAACTATCATACTAGTTACTGGTAAAAGTAGAAATCTGAAAATAATCAAGATACATTGTGGTTCTCAAACAGGGATAACACAGAAAAACTTCATATATATAGTCGAAGAAAATTATCATTAAGTTCATGTAAGCAGACCACCATTAGGTCATACAGCCCAATTACAGTAGCTGATACAAGCAAATAACTGATATAATGTTAACATTTTGAAACACAATACAATCAAAAATTCAATGGGCCCAAAAAGAAAAGAAAAGAAAAAAAAAAAAAATTGCTGTCCACAAGCTTTATAAATACTATCCATACCTCAGAAGAATTGATCCTATCATGTCAGATCTTAGGACATTAATAGCTGATATGTATGACAGTCAATCATGAAAAATGCAAAATTACAATGATCCAAACACTGTATTTTAACAGAAACACATTTTGCAAAACCATCCACAGTATCTCTCCATTAAACAAGAACTGTACAGTATTAACTATCATATGGTTTATCCAAATCATGACACCCGGTTATCCAAAAAAATTCATTTTTATCCAAATCACCACATCATTGTCAAACAAAGAGTTGGATATATGAAAATAGAAATACAGTTGTGCAATAAACAGATGCATCTTTGCATAGTGACATCATTTTCAGCACTTACAACATAGTTGATTGACAACCTAATTTTACACAACAAATAAGGATAGTCTACTAGACAACTCATCACCCATATTGCCCACATACTTCTCAAGTTCATGTTCCTTTAATTCTGAACATGACAGGCACTTCCTTGATAATAGTTATGAATTATCTGCATCATATTTCAGGGTTTGTTATGTACATTTTTAAGCAAGCTGTATCTACACTTCACAACGTTCAGTACATGCAAAAACAACTGATCGATGTATCAAGTTCTAAATAGGAGTGTAACAAGAGTACAAGACCATCGTACCTGAGTTTTTTCGATGGAGCACAACCAAGATATACTTTGCATTCAGGACAGTTTCCCAACCCCTCTTCTGTAATCTTGCCATATATGCAATTCCTGCAAACTATTTCAAAATTACAAAAAATATATATTAGATATTTACATCTTTTATTACTATGAAACACATGCTCAGGTATAGCTACACATGTTATTTTAACTTGCATTCTCAAAAGATATTTGCATGTGATGCGTCTTTTGTGCAAATTGAAAATTGACCTCCCTAGAACCTCTTCACCATGCAACTATGCAGCAACTTCTAGAAAACCCCAAATGATTACAATGAAGTTGTCACAAAACCCACAACATAGAGTAGACATCTCACGTCCAAACAGAATTCTGACATTTTGGTGCACTTTCATGTAGTGAAAATATTTAAAAAGTGTTCATGCCAATACTTTAATACAGCAATGTTAGGTATCATGAAAAATCTTTTATAAAAATAATCATAAAAGTTTTGTGGCTCTTGGATTACACTTAGAATAAAGCACTACACACTAATCAAAGTAATCCTAGGATTATAAATCTTTCATTATCATTTTCATAAAATTTTTTTTGTGATTCCTAACTTTTTCCTCATATATATATATATATATATATAGATAGATATATAAAACATCCAAAAGGGAACTCATGCTTATGGCATAGATATGCAAACCAACTAATTATCAATCATGTCCATTAACCCATATTGATTTGACACAACTACCCATCAAAATTATCAAAATTCTCTCTTGATTAACGTAGCACGTATAGTTACTATCAGATAAGTTCAACTCTAGCGTTGCTTACAACCCAAATAACAAGAGAAAACAGTAATCTAGCATTAATTTATCCTATTCATTCTTGTATGTAACCAAATCAAAAAACTGCATAGTAGACAAGAAGAACGAGATCACAAAACGTAAAATTGAGCATTATTGTATATATCTAGCTAGCTAAGAACCATAAGTAAAAAAAAATGTAAAATAAGTCTACCCAAGTCCAAAAAAAAAAAAAAATCATAAAAGGAAAAATTAAGTTTTCTTGTATCTAGCTAACTGTGAACCAGAAAGTAAAAAATAACGTAAAATGAAGCCGACCCAGATCGAAAAGATGCGAAGCCGACAAGAACCAGATCACAAAAGGAGAAATTAAGCGATACCCATATCGGAGATGATGACTTGAACTGAGATAAATCAGATCAGAAAATGCGAAAGTGAGAATCGAATCGATGCGAAAATCAGAACAAGTAAGAGAAAAACAAGATACACAAAAGGAGATTGAGAGAAAGAGAGGGATAGAGAGGACTCACATGTGTGAAGACATTCAGTGATGGTGGTAGCATTTTTGAATAGCTTATTGCAGATGGGACATGTCATGCATGTTGCGATCCCTTCGCTGCGAACTGCGACAGCCTGACTGCTACTCGTCATCATCAACACCACTCCGCCGCCTCAATTTTGTTAAAAAAATTCTTCTCACTCACACACGAATAATCTGACGACAGTGACAGCTTCTTATACACGTACGCACCCTAGATTGCATTCTATATATAGACCTAATTACAGTAGCCAAGAAAATTCATGAGATTTTCCGTGATTCTTCACGAGAAAGCAAGAAAAAAGACTAAGAAAACCATCAACCCAGATACCACAGAACCAAAAAAGATAAAGAAAAAGAACCTCTAATCCCCTTACCCCTTTCTCTCTCTCTCTCTCTCTCTCTCTATAAACAAATCTTTGTTTTTCTCTCTATATACATCAATCCAGAGAGAGAAAGCGGTTTTAAGGTGAGATTCGGAGATGGGTTGGACTATTCGGAGAGAACCGACGTCGGTTTCATTGGATTTGGACAATGGAGGTTTATGGATAATGATAGACAGTGATGATCTGTCGTCTCACCACCATGAACTATATGCTACGACCGAGTTCGAGTAAATATATACATACATACTGATAGACAGTGATGATCTGTCGTCTCACCACCATGAACTATATGCTACGACCGAGTTCGAGTAAATATATACATACATACATATTTATTATGGTGGTGGATTCCCTCCGGTCCATAGGTACTATTCGGCTAGGAAGTATAGAATACAAGTTACAATGTAAGAAAATTTAAAAAAAATAGGAGATATGATTACAAGAAAATTTAATAAAAAAAAATAGAATATTGATACAATTAAGATACATTTATAAAAAAAATATTTTTAAAAAAATTATTAATCATTTACATGAGCTCAAAAATGTTCAAAAATCGAACTCTCATTTTATACTGCAAAATATTAATTTTTAAGAATTAAATATTAATTTGATTTGGTAGCTAATTTATTTCTTTTAATTTTTAATAAGTTTTATAAATATTTCATTTTAATATTAAGTCTAATATTTTTATATTACAATAATAGGACAATGATATTTAATTTAATTTAATTTTACTTCGTATTTACTTTCTATGTAGTTATAAGAATAAGTGAGTTTGACAAATTATATTATTTTAATTAACTATATTTTTCTCATTAAAAAAATAAGTAAAGGATTGAAAAAAAAAAATTGTATTTATCCTCGCAATTATATTATATTTTTGATTAGCAAAATAAAAGATTTATTGATGAAATAGAAAATTATATGCAAAATAACATCAACAAATCAAGGAAGTGCACTAAACATCATAATTAACCTCAACTAGATTGACACCGTAAAAAAAGCGCAATCATTTACTAACACTTGATCCAAAATTAGTGAGAAGTCAATCAAGTGCAACCAAAAGTAGAAAAAAAAAAACAAGACAACAACACTGCAAAAACAACAATTAACATAACCCAGCAACACCAAAGAGCAGCACAATTGATACACCTCTTCACTAGCACCAAGCCAGTGAGCTTCCAACAGCAGCAAAAGCAACTTTTCATCACAATTATATTATATTATAATGTTATGCAAGAAATGTTACTATTTTAATTTTGTAAAGGTAATACGCAATCAGATATTCAAAATTAAATATCTGATACTTCAAAATTAATGAAAAATTAATTAAGAAGTATACAATCGATACTTTTAGTAAGTATCCGAATATTAGAAATATCGGCAACCGATACGGATACAATACGGATACATTGTCCTTTTAGAAGTATCCATACTTCATAGTTGTTCGGATTAGTAGGATTCATCACGAGTCTTGTTTTAATAATTTGAATCGTTCATTTTATCAATCATTTCATGTATTATCCTATAAAAAATTAAAACGATCTCATAATCGAAATCTATGTAATTTATTGCGTTTATTATTAGAAAAAATAGACAATAGTTTTAAAAACAGATCATTTTTTTTTTGTGATAAATGTAATAAATAGCATGAGTCACGACTATCGAATCGATATAATTTTTTTAAAATAATACATATAAATAACTTAATAAAATAAATAATTTAAATTATTAAAACGAGAGTTGTGATGGCTATTGATAGTCTAAGCAGGAATCTACCTTTTACATTGAAGGGGCCATAATTAAAATACACCCAGTGCATTCGGTTATTAACCTATGCATCTTGGTGACACCGGAAAAATGTTTGGCGATCCCAAGGCATAGATAAGTGGGGTATCTCCTGTGGTTAGTGAAGAAAGGTGAGTGGTAGTATTTTAAGAGTGTTATGATTAATGAAGAAAGATGAGGCTTATTTTGTTTTAGAACATAAAAAATTAAGTTTGTTTTGGCAATCGGTGATTGGTTAAGAACAAAGATACGTGATGCCCGGAGGCTTCTAATTATATTTCAGGTGAAACGTGTTATTTCTCAATCACAAACGGGTTTCCTACATGGTGTTCGTCGCAAACGGTGAACGTGAAGTTAAGACCCAAGGATAGCTATGCGCACTGTGGCGTATTTTAGTGAAGGGCTCAAGGAGATTAGGTCCTTCACGTGCAATTTGTGCGAAAAAGAAATGAGGAATCTCAGCTAGTCAATCCAATGAGATTATGCCTAGTGGCAATCAGGTGCAGATCCGGTGTCCATAAGCTGAATTTTTATTTGTACGTAACAAAAAATTTTAATTCAGACAATTTTTTTTGTTTATTATCTAACTATTTAATAAAAATTAAATATTCAAATATTAGTTACTAAACAAAAAACACTTTAATAATTGATATTTGAACAATTATACATATATATTAGCAAAAGGAGTGGGATTAAAATATACCGGTGCATTTAGTGTTAACTTGCGCATTTGGGTGACATCAAAAAAATATTTGATTGTCCTAAAGCATAGTTTGGTGGTTTTTCAAGAATGTTACAATTGATGAAGAGAATGAAATTCACAATTTTATGTTAAGAGATAAGAATAATGGAGAGTTTGGCAATCGGTAATTTTTTTTTTTTTTTTTTTTTTGTTGTGATCAGCAAGAAGAAATCTTTATTGATGAAATCATAAAAAAGAGTACATCAATAAAGAGGAGCTCGGAGCTACTTTAAGCTCGGAGTTCCAGTTGGAGAGAATCCAACACAGAGGAAAACCAAAAAAAAACAGAAACAGAATACACAGCAAGAGAGTAATCTAGCAGCATACACCAAAAAAGGCAGATTGCACACCCCAACAGGTTGCCCACCATACAACACCCAAATCTGAAACAAAACCAAACTAAACTTGCAAGCTGACCATCTAAATTGCAGCTGATCATCAAAATTGCAGCAACCAAACCTTCATCTCCAAACCTTAGCACCACAAAAACTTCAGATAGCTGAATGAACAAGACTAGCAACAAAACACTCTGAGAGCCACCTAAACATCAGAGGAATTTTCTACAGATCAATAAGTAACAATGGTTAAAATAACTGAAATCCTATAGAGTAAGTAGAGCACACATCAACTTCCATCAAATCCAACCAACACCAGAATAAGGGGACTAAACTACAAAACTAATGACAAGCACATTCTAGCTGTATAACCAGAGGCAGAACTTCCTCATACACAGCAGAGACTATTCTACACAGATTGAGACAAAACTCTGCAGCCTAGCATGCCAACCGAGAGCATTCTGCAGAAGGACTGGTAGGAAAAAATAGGCCTCCTCATATACTTCACCCTCTGACACCACCTTCCAAACTAAATCTGATACACTGTAGATTAAATATGAAATCATGAACAGAGAACAAGTGTTCCTTAAATACTTTCTTAAACCACACAGCCATTTTTAACTTAATCAGATCTGTAATTCCATCCATACTTGGGACAACCTCCTGAAATAAACATTCACTCCGATGTTAAAAAAAAAATAAAAAACCAATTTTTAATCTACTTCCCAAAATAAGCTTAAATTTCATTTTCATCAAACTAGTTTTTTTTTATCAGCAAGAAGAAATTTTTATTGATGAAATCATAAAAAAGAGTACATCAATAAAGAGGAGCTCGGAGCTACTTTAAGCTCGGAGCTCCAGTTGGAGAGAATCCAACACAGAGGAAAACCAAAAAAAAAAACAGAAACAGAATACACAGCAAGAGAGTAATCTAGCAGAATACACCAAAAAAGGCAGATTGCACACCCCAGCAGGTTGCCCACCATACAACACCCAAATCTGAAACAAAACCAAACTAAACCTGCAAGCTGACCATCTAAATTGCAGCTGACCATCAAAATTGCAGCAACCAAACCTTCATCTCCAAACCTTAGCACCACAAAAACTTCAGATAGCTGAATCAACAAGACTAGCAACAAAACACTCTGAAAGCCACCTAAACAGCAGAGGAATTTTCTACAGATCAATAAGTAGCAATGGTTAAAATAACTGAAATCCTATAGAGTAAGTAGAGCACACATCAACTTCCATCAAATCCAACCAACACCAAAACAACGAGACTAAACTGCAAAACTAATGACAAGCACATTCTAGCTTTATAACCAGAGGCAGAACTTCCTCATACACAGCAGAGACTATCCTACACAGATTGAGACAAAACTCTGCAGCCTAGCATGCCAACCGAGAGCATTCTGCAGAAGGACTGGTAGGAAAAAATAGGCCTCCTCATATACTTCACCCTCTGACACCACCTTCCAAACTAAATCTGATACACTGTAGATTAAATATGAAATCATGAACAGAGAACAAGTGTTCATTAAATACTTCCTTAAACCACACAGCCATTTTTAACTTGGGACAACCTCCTGAAATAAACATTCATTCCGATATTTCCATAGAGACTACATCACTACAAGAGGAAAGGCATTACACATCATCATTTCCTTTTTATTAAGACCCACCCCTGCCCACTATTCAAGCATGGTAATTGGTTGGGAACAAAGACACATAGTGTCCTTTAGGCATAACTTTTCAAGTGACACATGTTATTTCTCGATCGCAAATGGGTTTCCTTAGAGTTTTCATTTCAAACGGTGAGGTTAAGGCCCAAGCGTAACTGTACACACCCTGACATATTTTAGTGGATGACACACAGGGATGAGGTCCTTCAAGTACAAATTACAATGTGTGATAAACAAAAAAGTGAAAATCTCAATCAATCAATCTAATGAGATTATACCAAGTGACAATCGGGTGCAGATCACATGTGAGTCTATAAGCAAGCTTTTATTTGTACATCCCAAACATTTTCTATTTGTACGGAAAAGAAATATTCTCCACTCTCCGTACTCCTTGTATCCAAGCCTCGTGTGGTGTCGCTTAACCTAAGAACAAAAAGAGGGTGAGTTGCTAGGCATGCACTGCCGGATAGACCCTCCGACGATCAAGTTAGCACGCTTAGAGAGGAGAGAAGGCAGTGAGCGCTCTAGAGAGAGAGAATTGGAAATTCTTTCAGGTTGCTTACCTCTAACGTCTACATGCTCCTCTTTTTCAAGGCTGGTTATGCAGCCTCAGAGATTGTGGGCGTACTACCTCTACTGTCTTTCTCTGGATAGACGGTTATGCTCCCCTCTACCTTTCTTACACGTGTAGAGACCAAAACCTCCAAACAGTGTTTGTTGCACTGCCAAACGATATTGACGCATACGAGGAGTGGATTCCCTTTTTTTTTTTGTGATTAGACCACGTGGAATGTCAAACCAAACTATTACTCAGTGAACCACAGACTACGTTGGATAGCTCAATGCCGAGCTTAACTAGACCGGTCTACCAGAACAGACCGAAGGTGAGCATGTCGCACGACATCTCGGCTGCTGACCATGATCATATGGGCTATCTATGTCCCCACTGTTGTGGACCGAACTACCTATAGCCCGGTCGTCAAGTTGTTCAGCTACCTAGAATCCTAATGTCGAGGCAGTTCTGCCCATTGAAACCATCTCAACTAAGTCTGGCAAGACGTATGATTCAATGCGGGTCTAGCTCGATCCAACACCAGTTACCGTACGGATCTAGCTCGGCTCAATGCATTTCAAGTACCTTAGTCCGGTTTGGCAAAACACTCAGCACAGACTTGACTTGGCCAAACAGTGTGCTCCAGGTTCCCTCCGCGCGGCCCAACACTACATTCCGCATCGGTGCATCCCAGTCCACTGTTTGGCATAAATCTCTTTCTTAATTGCCCCTTAATCCCATTCGAGCTGAGCATGATTGAGATTACCACTTCCAGCCAAACTGTCACGTTCTAGTCGATTTTCGAGACTTGCGTCAGTTGTTCCGCCATCAATCAATCAGCCGCCCTAACAACCCGTCAGTTGTACAGATAGCCAGTCGTTTCCAAGCCACATGGCGCCTCCCCAGAGGCTCTGTGCAGTCCTTACAACTGTACTCATCATGCTAAAATTTGAAAAGTTGCCGCCTTTTGAGCTTTCCCCCATAAATAGGCCATTTATGCCCCTATAGCCCCTTCACTGTTCATTTCCTTCTTTCGTGTCGAACTCTAATCCCTTGAACGTTTGCCTCCGTCACCGCCATTGTGTTTGTTCGAGCCGTTTTCATCATTTTCCCTTCTCACGAACGCCACAACAAGGGTCGTAATCAATTGGGCCTTGATTTCGCATCTAGACTCATAAGTTCTCTTCATTTCCCTGTCTGTTTCATTGTGTTCTTCATGTTCTTCACTTTTTTTCATTTTTCTCTTTGCTTGGGAATTGTCAGTACCCTGTCGATTCCCCTCTTTTAGGGTGGAGTTGATAAACATTTGTAGAACTTAAGCAAAACTGGAACCAAGAACACAAATAGGGCCCCTATGCCCCTCATTCTCCATAATTTCAGTACGTAACCTCGAGTTTAGGATGAACATATTGATTTTTGGACAAAACAAAGCTAGGTCCCAATTTAGATCCTCAGATAGGATTGAACCAAGCTGAAAGTGGTTTGTGGACCTTCCAAGCGATAGCGGCTACGCTGGAAACTTGGGGGGATCATCTAGCCGAGATAAACGCCAAGCAATTAGGACTTGGCCCAAAACTGGCCTAACGTGTTAGGTTTCATGACCGATCTACAAACCAAATCGTGTCAAAGTTTAGTATGCGAAAACTTTTGAGAGCCATGCACTCGTTGTCGTATTAACACTTGCACTTATTTTTAATAATGCAGAACTAGGACCGACCAGGCACACATCAACATCACATCGATGAGGCTCAAAGACTGAGCAAATAATAACCTGAACCGTTCAATTTTAACGGAGCTACAATCAATTTACAATACAAAATAAAATTGGGATAAATGGAGAAATACCATTTTATGGTCAACTCTCCTAGGGCAATGGCTGAGTTCCGTAGAGAGTGCAACATTCCAGACGACGTCCACCTGGAGCTGGCCAAGAAAGGAGACACTCCCTGGGGTGAATTAAACAAATGCCCCTTCACGGTCGTGTCTATTGTGGAAGGTGGCTTACGCTTCCCGGTCCAACCCCTGGTCCGCAAATTTTTTAGGCAGACTAGGCTGTGTCCCACTCAAGTCTCCAACAATACATACAAAATAATAAACGGCGTGGCCACGCTGAGTCGAATACTCAATCTGAATCTCGGGCCTACCGAGATATTCCACCAATACACGCTTAGTAAGAATAAAGGCGGCTTCTGCTAGTACCTAAAGGTTAAAATTGGCCGAGCAAAGCTCGTAGAGAGTAACCGTGATAAAGAGATGAACGATGACGACTTTTTGTGGGTAACTGGAAATTACGAAGACACTGAAGCGCCCATACCAAGTTGGTACATACAAAAAAAATTTGGGAGCGCTAGTAAGCGTCATAGCACGATTTAATTGTTTGGATTTGATTTGCCTTTGTCGATCTAACCCTTGCTTTATTTTTGCAGATTACAAACTCTTGGCGGACGATTATTCCAACGCTAACCGAGGGGCTATAAGGGTTGCTTTTCGACATCCGGTCAAAGAAAGAGAGACCCAAAAACTGCTCGGATACCAACCGAGCTATAGACACCTGGCACCACGCAAGAACAGGGTCACCGATTTTCTTCGCGCTCCCTCTTCAAAACCAGATCCAACTCTTCTGCCGATTAGACTCGTATCCCTGACAGCTGAGCAAGAAATGGCAAAAATTCGAGCGATCAAGTCAATGATTAAAAGAGAGGCAAGCGATTCCCAGCCAGTAGAAGCTGCTGGGGCTCAATCCTTTATGCCAGCCGTGGTATAAAGGACCAGTGTTGGCTCTTGCCAGCAAGCAAGCTGTTGGTTGATCGAAGAAAAGGCCAAGGCGAACATAGACTGAGTAGCACCATGTCGACGAAGATTCAACCGAGCTGCCATTGGCTGATCAGGGAGAGCAGATTAAACAACCGCTTGCCAGGCGTTCCACCCATTTCATTGCCCCTCCAGTCTGGTCACCCGAACTAAAATACAAGGGCCAAGCAGTGACAGTGGCAGACTCAGTTTAAGCAGACAAGGAGCATTCGCTCGACTTTAACATGGCCAAGGGTCTCCTTACAAACATGAAGAAGCATGAGGAACTGTTCGATCTGAAAGTCCTCGGGTCGGTGGCAAAGTCAATCGTTCTGGTAAGCAATCAAGTGGTTTTATTTCAAGTTATTGATCGACTTCTCATACTAACTTTTGCCCTACTGCAGGCTGCGCAGAAAAATTATCTTGCTCATGAACGCATGATTTCTGTCCGACAGAGTCTGTGGGAGGCCATCGCGAATAATAAAGCAAAAATGGCCAAACTGGAGAAGTTGAAGACTTCACAGGAGGTGGCAGTGGCCGAGTGCAACCAGCTCGCAGAGCGGCTGGCAAGGGCAGATGAGGACAAACAAAATGCGCCGTAGGAAACCAAAGCCAGATATGTGGCTATGCGGAGGGCGAAAAAGCCATAAGGCCAAGTTGGAGAAACAAGTCAACGACGCTGAAGATCGTGGCTATGCGGAGGGCAAAAAAGCCTACAAACGGGAAGTCGAGGGGACCAAGGACATCTTTTTCCAGTGTGGTTGGAAAGCTGCCGTGGAAGAACTTGGGCTTAGGCAAGACTCTGACGTGTTCAAAAATCCTCCAACCGCCTTCATTCCGATCCACATGCAAGCTTATGTCAGTGCCGTGCAACAGAAACTAATAGAAGAGGCAAAATTGGCAGTTGCGGCAGATGCTTCTGCCATGCAACAAGCCGATCAAAACCCGCCTTCAGATGTGTCCAAAGAAAGAGTCGGCCAAGCCCAAGAGCAGCCCGAGCAAGAGGAGAATCTAGTGCCCGACGTGGATGAAGAAGATACCAAGATAGAAATGACCGACCAGGCCAACACCGTGGATTTGGATTGATCTCTTTCCTTTTCTTTTTTTTTTTTCTTTCTTTTGTAACCGAGCTATGAATTCCACTTTTGTAATCAAACTTTGTCATGAATGGAAAATGATAAACTTTTTGCTTGCCATGTATTTGCCTTTTTGTTTGCTTTGTTGTTTTCGTTTTCTTCAATTCGTTCGAATGATTGTAATCACTGTGTCTAATGCGGCCGAGATACATATTGCTCGATTTCACAGCATCAAGCTGAATCTGTACGCAGCCGAGATGAAAATCTTCTCGTAGTGTTCCAAGGTGTAATGATCTCTGTTAGGCCGAGCTAATTTCTTTTCAAATGCGTACAAATGTAAAGTTCCTTTTCAAAATTAGAGAAGCCCAGAGCAAAAATTCAATTCGATTTAATGTAAAATTAATCCATGAGATGCTCAAAACGCAAACTATGTAGAAGGCGAGCAAAAGCCAACTCGGAGTGATAATCGAACTCAACTCGGTATCACCTCAAAATTCGTTCACAATACCAACTTTCTCCAGGTGAGCGAAATCCGCTTGAGGTAATGAGTAATGTCAGCTCGGTTCCCAATCTTAAGTTAGAAAAAACACTAACTGTTTGAGCGGGTGAGCAAAGTCTGCTCAGAACAAGCAGTCACAATTGAGGAAAACACTAACTGTTTGAACGGGCAAGCAAAGTCAGCTCAGAACAAGCAATCACGATTGGGGAAAGCACCAACTGTTTGAACAGCGGGCAGAGCTAGCCTGGATTGAACTAAGTCAGTTTGGACTCAAATTGTGAATTAGCCAAAACATCGGCTGACAACAAAGCGAGAAAAACCAACTCGGTTCACATGGAGAAACTGGGGATATCACCAGTTTTTCATCACAGCGAGCAAAAATCAGCTCGGTTGGGGTGGAGCTAAGTTAGGTGAGATGCCCCTAGCACCGAGCAGCTCAGATACAACACTAATATATGGAAAAAAATGATACATAGATATAGACAAATCAAAGGTTCTTTCCATTACACATTAAACATTACTTACAATGCCAATAGGCCAAACTTGAATACAAAGGAAGAAAGATTACATGTCAGAAGTAAAACAGCTTGAGATTGGCTGCGTTCCATGGTCTCGGGATAGCTTTGCCGTCCAAGTCCTCCAAATGGTATGCTTTTTTGTCAGCAAGGCCGGTTATTTTATATGGCCTTTTCCAATTGGCTCCCAATTTGCCCTCTCTAGGGACCACCATATTGCCCATCACCTTTCTCAAGACCTAGTCTCCAACCTTGAATAGCCTTGGATGCACGGTCTTGTTGTATTTCTTGGAAAGCTCTTGTTGGTAGGCCGCAATGTGAATTAGCGCTGTTTTCTCTTCTTTTCTCAGCGAGATCTAATTCCAGGGCAATGGCTTCACAATTTGAGTAGGCCTCAAAATTTTCAGATCGGATGGCTAGCATGTCGATTTCCAATGGTATGACTACTTCCATGCCATAGACCAAGGCAAATAGAGTTTCCCCGATCGAGCGTCTCGGTGTAGTGCGGTATGCCCAAGAACATATTAGGGAGTTCCTCAGCCCACCTCCCTTTAGCCTTCTGCAATCGCTTCTTCAGCCTGTCCAAAATAGTTTTGTTTGAGGTTTCGGCTTAACCATTTGTTTGAGGGTAGGTTGGTGTAGAGTAGGGCTGTGCAGCGGATCCACCGACCCGCCCCCAACGGGCGGATGCGTGCCACGTGGCGGGCGGATGCGGGCTTGATTTATGACATTTCTCGGGTTCGGGTCGGGTGGCGGGTAATCTGCCATTTTAGCCACCAGACCCGACCCGACCACCATTGGCTCTTTTTTTTATTTATTTTCGACTGATATATGCCTCATTTTCTCCCATTTTCCTTTCTGATATGCATCCTGATCCTCCATTTGCCCTAATTTTCGAAGACAGCCATTCTCATTCTCTCTCTCTCTCTCTCTCTTTACCCTACCCATCGTCGGACGATCTACACGGCGTCGGCGATCGATCTACACGGCGTTGACAATCAATCTACACTACTTACTGACTGAGGTATCTCTCTCTCTCTCTCTGCTTTCCTCTTCTTCTCTTTTCTTCTCTTCTTCTGATCTGAGTCTAATCTGTTTTTTTTTGTTCCAGTTCTAAAAAGAAATAGATGGTTAGATTGATCGATCTACAGTCTACTACACTTACTGACTATAACTGAGTTACTGAGGTACTGTAGACGCGCCCTCGGGCCTCACTACAGTTCGGACTCAATTTGTGTCACGGTCCTGTATCTAATCTCGCAGAGTGTAATGTAAGACCGATAAAATCATCAAAGAGTCCAAATCTGGCAAATCATTTTTTTGAAAACAGATTTTTTGAAAGAAGTGCGAAACATGGACTGCTTTGCCAGATACAGAGTCGCCACCTAAATATTTTATTTTGGAGAAATTTAGAAAACCCTGACTCGTTGCCTAAGGCCACGTGTCCGTCATCACCAAAGTTGCCTCGGCTCGGGAACTTGGGTACGATTGGGGAAGGTCACTTCGTGAGCACCCCCGCTCGCCCGATCAAAGATCGGCCTCTACTAACCATGATATCTAGTTTTGAAAACATTATGCATTCTTATTCCGGTTCTTATCCTAGATTTACTATGTGATGCGCATAGCAAACAAGTATAGACTGGGTCGCCTGAATTGGAACAAAACGTCTCATGTTTGTTTTGAAAATGGTTTGCTACTCGCAAGTAGACTAAAAAGTGGATTTGCCACCCTCAGGTGGGCTTAGAAAACATGATGATTTGCCACTCTCAAGTGGGCTTAAAACTCACAATTGATGAATTGTTCCAGTTCAAATAACCCAACCTTCACCCATAGGCATTCAGGCAGTTATATCACATAAGCACATAGCCTCATGGTAAGCATGCTATCATGGCAGTCACTCACACGCATGCAAAGATGCTAAAGCATAAAACTTACCGAGTACTCCAAGCCAAAACAGAAGCTATGTTAGAAATCCGTGCATAATCCTAACTATACAGAAATGCCTAATGCAACACATGCAAAATGCAACTACAATAGGCTCGGCTATTCTAAGATGGCATATGATGATGCTACAACTAACATGTATTCAATTTGGAATTGAAATACAAATGCAGTTAGTATGATGCGCCGAGCTCGGTGCATACAAGACAGATGAATGAATGCAGACATGCTATCATACTGTATGCTAATTGAAACATGCCCTATTCTAACCATCATAAACTGGGAAATAAAAGGGAGAAAAACGTGGGGTTGGAAGACATACATCACACTCACGCACACTTATTACAACATTGCCCTCGCTCGGAGGGTCTAAAAGAATAATACAATCCGAATAAATAATACAGTCCGAATAAATAGTACAGTCCGAAAAAAAAATCCTAATTAATTAACAAATAAATCTAGGAAAGCAGGTAAATTAGCATGTAAGCATATGGACTGCCTCAGCTCCGTTCCAACTGACGAATGATGCATGCTCGAGTTGCCTGGCGCGGAAATCCATTGCGATGCCTCGATTCGCCTCTGTTTGTAATTTTACTCGGAATATTGTGCAAAGCTCCAGAAGGCCGCTGATTTATGATTTACTGCAACAGAGAGCAACAAAGGGGCATGGCAAAGTATTTTCACATATGTATGCATTACTACTCTTCGGGGAGTGTAGTCCTCGATCCTCGTGCCATCAATCAGGCATATCGATGCATGATGGCCAAGGAGTCGAATTGCACGACTCGATGTGAAATGAATGCACATGGAAACGCAATAAGACCTAAACTCCATCATGGGTAATCCGGAGTGTCAGCGACCGGGGAATTGAGACATGTTCCGTCACTCGGAGTACGAAACATCCCTCGTTTCCCATGCTTGGGCTAACTCCTATCCCAAACACAATGCAAATGAGATGGCATACACAATGCGACTAACATACAACCTAGCATACGCAATGCTATGAAATGGCATACACAATGCACGACGCAACATGACATACACAATGCTCTAACA